ATTATTAATAATTAAAAATTACTGTTTTGCCTTACCTGGGCAAAAATCTTCCAATAAAAGTTACATTTTAGGGGCTGGGAAAGTGGCTCAGTGGTAGAGTGCTTGCTTTACATGCATGAGACCCTGGGTTCAATTCCTCAGCAACACATACACAGAAAAAGCTCGAAGTGGCTCAAGTGTAGAGCACTAGCCTTGAGCTGAAGAGCTGAGGAACAGCGCCCAGGCCCAGAGTTCAGGCCCCACGACCGGACCCAAAAAAAAAACCCCACAAAGTTACATTTTAGAAAAAGAAAAAAAAAACACCAAAGTTATTACTGTGCATCTGCTCAGAATTTCTAATTAATGAGTGCTGGCAGAAAAGTGACAATTCCCCACCATAAATGGCTTAATACTTGTGTTGAATGCTAGAACAGAGACCCATGTTCAAGTCCATATATGTATATCCCTGTTACAGAAGGGCAGCCAGCGTCCAGCCCTTTTAAATTACGGTTTGTAGCCATGCCCTGGCCTTGCCTTTAAATCACTGTGAGTACTGGCAGCATGTCAAGACACTCTCGTTTCTGCTACTTGCTGGAAATATAACAAATTTTATGAATAGCGATACAAAAACAACTCTCAGGCAGATGGAAGTTTCTTCACTGCTTTTAGCTTGGGACTCTAAATCTATTTTTCTGTGGTTTTCTCTCTTCCTCTGATTTAACTCAAGAATTTTCAAGTTGTTACATCAAGTTTTCAGTGTACAGTTTTGGCTTGTCCTGGATATTAGTGTTTTGCATATGTATGTGTATTAGCTACTAAACATTTTTTGTATAAATAACTTTTTAGTACAAATTCCTACCCTTTCACACGCATACACTACAAGCCTTCCCAGGCTACCTCTCTATCTTTTAACTAATTCTGAATCGCTTCCTCTATATTTCCCCCATAAATGACACTGTAGCGTAAAGCCACGAGAGAAAATTTTAAAACAATTTTAAACTTTTAAGCAGTAAATGCACAGATTTCCACAGTGGCTAGCCCCTGGGGCCTGGACCTGATTTTATGGGTGTCTTTGCTGCAGAGTGGTTTGTATCTGGCTCTTCTCATTTGGAAGTGGGACTGCAGTGTAAGGTTGCTGAAAGGATGTGGTCACTTCCAGCTGTTACTGTGATGACAGCCCCAGCCCAATGGACCAGCGTGTCATTTCTGAGTCACATTCTTACCAAACATTCTTGAACCCGAACTCACATGTGGGAATGAGAATACAAAAGACTGGGTACACTTACAGTTCAGACTTAAAAATCATTAATGAAGCAACCATAGGATTTCTCCCTTTAGAAAGCTGATAATTGAGCACATGTGACTGTTTCAGTTATTTCTGTTCTCCTTATCACTATTGCTGGTGTGTTGTGTTTTGTGTTTTTTTTAACCTGATTTTACTTGTCAAATACATGTACATTGGATGCATAAGAAAAAATAGGCTACTTCCAAATGTGAATCTGCCATAAAGTGGCCAAGAGAAACAATTGTAGAGATGGTTAAAAGAAGCATTTATATTTAGGACTTTCACAGGAAATATAATTTGTTTAACTATGCTTTAGCTTGCTATTGCTCATGCTTTAGAAACCAGCAGCCTTTGTTTCCTTTACTTTGTCTTTTATTGTTCATTTTTCAATGTCTAAAACCTGACTCCTTAGTTTTCAGTATGTTATAGTGTAGAACTTGACCATAAACATTTTCAAAGTCCAGACTTTATGTCCTACATCTTTAAGGCAATCACATTGCTCATTATTAGGATGCATGCCACAGTTTACCGCCATATAAGGATCTATTTAGCAATATGAAGGGATAAATTCCTACTCAACCTATTCTTACCACCCAGGAAGATATAATTTTAACTTTGAGCCAACAGCAATGTGAAAGTTTTGTAAATAATTCCATTGTTCTTGGTAACTGAAGAACAAGAATAAAGACCACACTGTATAGTAGAATAATATACTTCTTTCCACTAGATGGGAGTATGAGATAACCAGATGGAAGAAAGAATCTTTTATAGCTGTAATAAAATATGCCAATTCTCCACAATTTTTTTTTTTTTTTTTACCAAATAAAGTTTCCTGACGAATGTGCACACAAGGACAAAAGCTGCTCCTGTGTTTTCCTCCTTCTCTCTTTTCCTTCCTCTCTTTCACACTCCAAATAAGATCCAGTATTTTGAATTTATGTACTGAGAAGAATTTTAAGAAAACTCAGGACACAAAAATATGTAGTTATTTGATAATTTGTTATTTGGCAAAGATTCGTTTAAGGTTTTATTGTTTGTTTTGTTTCAGGTATAGGGAAATCTTATGGTTTATGTTCATTTTTTTCCCCCATTGGTTGTACAGCTTGAACTCTGGGTCTGGGTGCTGTCCCTGAGCTCTTCAGCTCAAGGCTAGCGCTCTACCACTTGAGCCACAGCTCAACTTCCAGTTTTCTGGTGGTTAATTGGAGATAAGAGTCTCACAGACATTCCTGCCCAAGTTGCCTTTGAACCACAACCTCAGATCTCAACTTCCTGAGTAGCTAGGATTACAGGAATGAGCCACCAGCATCCTGCTAAATTTTAACTTGAGAAAATCTATTGAACTCTTCTTTTTTTTTTTTTCAAATTTTGTATTGTGATTAAGTGGTTACATAATTTCCCAAATTTCACAGTATTGTGGGATAGTGATGCTCAGTTAAAGTCACAAACACATTCTAACTTTCCTGGAGCAAATTATCTATCATGGTCTATAACATTTATGAGTTATTGAACTCTTCTTAATGATAATACAGTACAGTTATTTTTTAATGAGTCATACTATCTGTAAATAACTACAGTACAGTCTATTCTGATAAATTCTGTTGCTTTTGCATTTTCTCATGGTTCTAACTAGTACCGATTTAACAATATTAATAATAAGATAATTTCTCATTAATTGGAGTTATGTGCTAAGTATACCTGGTATATGTTATAAACACACATACTGTAAACATACACATTTGTGCTTATAACATGTGTGTATACATGTACATACAGATGGATATGTGTACACACGTGCTATGAACATATATAGGTCTAGCTTCCACTATGAGAGAAAATATGTACCCTGAGTCTGGCTTACTCTGCTTAATATTATGATCTCTGCCTCTTCCACTCATTTACCTTCAAATAACATAATTTTATTATTATGGATAAATAATGCTTTTGTATATATACCACATTTTTAAATATATACATCCATTCATTTATGTTTTTAAAATTTGTTCATCTGAGCTAAGTGCTGGTGGCGCACACCTGTAATCCCAGCTATTCAGGAGGCTGAAATCTGAGGATTGCAATTCAAAGCCAACTTGGGTAGGAAGGTCCATGAGACTCTTATCTCCAATTAATCACAGACAAAACTGGAAGTAATGCTGTGAGTGGCTCAAGTGGAAGAGTGCTAGCCTTGAGCAAAAAGAGCCCAGGGACAGCACCCAGTGCTAGAGAGTTCAAGCCCTAGGACTGGAAAAAAAAGAGTTCATCTGTTATAAGTCACCTGGACTATTTCCAAAGATTGTTAAAAATAGTGCAATAAACATAGTAATACAGGTGCTTGTATTATATCGTGGCTTATATTACTTTGAATACATGCCCAAGAATAGCTCACTAGATTATATTTTTTTTTTGGGGGGGGGTCCGGTCGTGAGGCCTGAACTCTGGGCCTGGGCGCTGTCCCTAAGTTCTTCAGCTCAAGACTAGCGCTCTACCACTTGAGCCACAGCGCCACTTCTGGCTTTTTTTGTTGTTGTTTATGTGGTGCTGAGGAATTGAACCCAGGGCCTCAGGCATGCAAAGCAAGCGCTTTACCACTGAGCCACCTTCCCAGCCCGGTAATTCCATTTTTTGTTCTTTTGAGGAAGCTCCACACTGCTTTCCATAGTGCTTGAATTAATTTACATCCTTACCAACTTTTATATTCTCATCAGCACTTGTTTGTGTGCTCGATTATAGTCATTCTGACAAGTGAGATGTAATTACAGTTTTTTTGTTATTTAATTTCTTTGCTAACAGGGATACTGGGCATTTCTTCATGTATTTATTGCCACTTGTATTTCTTTTTTTGGAGAATTATCTGCTTAATTTTCTTATTTATGAAGTTGTTGATTCTTTCAATAATTTATTTATTAATTTTTTTTTTTTTTTGTCTGTCGTGGGGCTTGAACTCTGGGCTTGGGGGCTATCCCTCAGATCCTCAGCTCAAGGCAAGCGCTCTACCGCTTGAGCCACAGTGCCATTTCTGGTTTTCTAGTGGTTTATTGGAGATAAGAGTCTCATGGACTTTCCTGCCCAGGCTGGCTTTGAACTGCAATCCTCAGATCTCAGCCTCCTGAGTAGCTAGGATCATAGGTGTGAGCCACGGGTGCCCGGCAACTTTCAATAGTTTAGTTTTTGGTCTCCCTCTAGATTTTGTAGGATACACATTGAATTCTTGACTGCATTCTCCCTCTCTTTTCAACTTCTTCTTTTCTCTATTTTACAGGTATTTCAAACTTAATGGATAAGTCTGAGGCTTAATGGATAACTTGGAGGTTTTTACCAACCTTCTCTGCACCTACTCCTTACCTCAAATTTATTTCTCTTTTGTGTTTATTGTCTCTTTATGGAGGGATACTAGGATTTGGTGCTTGTATATATACATGCACGTATGTATATATGTATGCATGTATGTATTTTGGTGAGATTGCAGAGTACAGGTCAGAGTCAGACATAACCCTGTGAAACTTTCTAGCCATCACCTAATTTTTCAGTCTTACAAAGCAAGTACATATTTTTGCATTAATTTCTTCTTAAATTTATGAATATTATTCCTCCTTGTGTGAAAAAAGGCTTGACTATACATACCTTTATATAGAGAATATATTTTGTAAGTATTTTCTGAACCATAAATGCATGCTCATGCTTTATTACTATTGATTCACCATACATAACTACTTTCTCATTATTTCCTAAATTATAGAAAAGTATGTCGTAACTGCAAGTGTGGCCAAGAAGAGCATGATGTCCTTTTGAGCAATGAGGAGGATCAAAAAGTGGGGAAACTTTTTGAAGACACTAAGTATACCACCTTGATTGCAAAGCTAAAATCTGATGGCGTTCCCATGTATAAGCGCAATGTTATGATATTGACTAATCCTGTTCCTGCCAAGAAGAATGTCTCCATCAATACGGTTACCTATGAATGGGCTCCTCCTGTCCACAATCAGGCATTGGTAAATAATATTGGAAGAAGGTTTAATTTATTGAAGTTCCTGGGACTATGTATTTAGGACACTTTCCTAAGTGACCTGGTCAACCTCACATATTCTACATCTATTATTTTTCTGAAGTTGCCATTACTTTAACTTCTTCCTACCATTACAGTCTTTGGAAACTAAATATCTCATAGACTACCTAGATCTGAGTTTTTTAATTTATTTGTGGGAAATTTAACATTTTTAATGATGACATGAACATCAGATATTTGTCAATCTAGTAATTCTTCTGGTTTATACTTGAGAAAATTTCTGTCCAAATAGTATGGAATATCTAAAGAGTGGAATTTCTGCCTGGACAAAAAATATTTTACTATATAAGGCCAAAAAATGCAGTTTGGTATCAGGCTCTTTCCACTATAATGAAAGCTAGATGAAGCATTTTGGAAGTTTGTTAGGAAGGTTGGTTAGATCCTTAAAGTGAATCTTGTGATATTTTTATACAATGAACTGTTATTGATCCATAGGCCATTCTGACAGTGCCCCCCAAGACAGTTATGATCCATTTCAATCTGACATTGATTTAGACAAGTAATAATCCAGTTGTTTTTACAAACTGACAAGAATTAATTTCACAGAGGAAAATATGTTGATTTTCCCACTAAATCTATTTAAAGTACCATTTTTAGTGCATTAAAACATCTCAAGGTATTTTTACAGGATGAGGATAAATTCTTATTAATGGATAAAACCTGCTTCTTTCTTAATAACTTGCTCCTGATGTTTGCTATGAAAGATTGCACGGTCTAATGGCCAGGGCTGCTTCTCTCAGTTAACATGGGTCTCCCTCTGGTTCAGGCTAGACAGTACATGCAGATGCTGCCTAAAGACAAGCAACCAGTGGCAGGCTCCGAGGGGGCACAGTACCGGAAGAAGCAGCTGGCAAAGCAGCTCCCTGCACATGACCAAGATCCATCAAAATGCCATGAACTGTCTGCCAGCGAGGTGAAGGAGATGGAGCAGTTTGTGAAGAAATACAAGAATGAGGCTCTGGGAGTAGGAGATGTCACACTCCCCTGTGAGATGAATGCCCACGGCCGTGACAAAGTACATATCTCTGGCGGGGACAGAAGCACCCCAACAGCAATGGGAGCCCTGGAGAAGAAGTCTTCCGACAACAAAAAATCCCAATATGTAAGTAGATTGGTCACACTGTTGGTCTAGTTTGTATATTTTACAGGTTCTTTCCCTTTCTTCCATCTTTTATGTGGTGCTGTTCCTCATTTTCTAAAAATAACAGATATAGGAAAGACTTACCAAAATTAGTATGCATTTGTCTCAGAGTTTGAAACTTCTAAAGCCAACTTGTCTGAATAACCGTGAACTTACGTATACACAGTCGTCAGCCTTGGCGTCCTGTTCGAAGACAAAATCCCAGTTTACTATTAGTTTCTAAAGATAATTTTGGTGTTTATTCCTTCCCAGAAATTAGAATAATATATGCTTCGATTAATTCAGCCTTGCTTATGAGACTATGCCTAAATTTCAGACTTAAATTTGTGTGGCTATATTTTCAAAATAAATTTTATATATTTATTCATTCAGTCATTCATTTGTGTTTATATGCTTATTCAGTGGTACTGGGAATAGAACTTAAGTTCTTGTGATTGCTAGACAAGGGCTCTACCACTTGATCCTTGGTCCTAGTCTTTTGATTGTAATTCGTTTTCCAAACAGGGTCTTATACTAACTTTAGCCCTGACTAGTCTCCAGCCAATATTGTCCCATTTCTGCCTTCTCAAAATCCTCCTATGTATCTAGTGAAGTATTTTTCTAATGATTTGAAATTAGAAGACAATTGTGACACAAGTGGAGAAACCATAAAAACTGTACTTACTGTGCTTTGTTTTTCATGGATCCATTGAGCACCTAAAACCAATGGAATGAGGTTTAGTCTTAAAGAGAATTTACTAATAAGCTCTAAGATACTCATTTTTGCAAGAACTCAGGTAAAATTCAGTTGAAAATTATGATCACCCTTTCCTATAAGTGAATTCGATTCAGGAAAGTGCTTTATTATAATTAGAGTGAAAAGGAAACTGAACAGCCTAGAGACAGACAAGACATGGGAATATGTGCAAGTATCAACACCTCATTTATCGTCTAGATAATACCGATCGATAGCTGCAGTAGAAATTTCTTCCCTTGAAGTTGTTGGTCCGAATTCCTCCCAAAGCTGAGACTGATGAATGCCATTGTTGCCTTTTAGTCCTGCCACAGCTGCAAACTGGCTATGAAAGAAGGAGACCCAGCCATCTATGCCGAGAGGGCAGGCTATGATAAACTGTGGCACCCCGCTTGTTTCACCTGCAGCAGCTGTAGTGAACTCCTGGTCGACATGATATACTTCTGGAAGAGCGGGAAGCTGTACTGTGGCCGACATTACTGTGACAGCGAGAAGCCCCGGTGTGCGGGCTGTGATGAGGTATGCTCTGAGGCCATCCGCAAGGAGATCCTGCATGTGTCCCTTCACAGCTGCCGTATCCAGAGGGCAGCAGGAATTCAGTATTCATTGCTTGGTTTTCATCCAAAAATGACATGAGAGAAACTTTTGGTTTCTTTCATTCTGGGTATCTGTCTTAGTGTTGTTGACTAATGAAAGACTATCCTGAAACTAAAGGTTGATGTGGACTAAATAATAACATGAATCTAAGCTTAATGGTATCATTTTCAGATGTTAAGCTCCAAGAACCATATTTTCTTCCTCTTTGCAGTTGATTTTCAGCAATGAATATACCCAAGCAGAAAACAAGAATTGGCATCTGAAACACTTCTGCTGCTTTGACTGTGACAACATCCTCGCAGGTGAAATATATGTGATGGTCAGCGACAAGCCCACGTGCAAGCCCTGCTACGTGAAGAACCACGCCGTGGTGAGAATCTGTGGAGACATCATTGTCTCAGCCTGTTTTGTGACTTGCATTTATGCCCTTTTAAGCCTCTTAAAAATGGGGACAGGGCTGGAGATGAGCACTGTCCTAGCACTCACAACCCTCTGGGTTATATCTTTAGCACCACAAGAAAACAAAATGTTTCTTCTCATTTTGGGGATTTAGCTCAGTGGAAGATTGCTTGCCTAGAAAGTTCAAGGCTCTAAATTTGGTCCTCAGCACCACAAAAAAAGGAAGGGTGTGCAGAAGGCAGTCAATCCTGATTTCACCTTAGGGCATTAAAACCCAGGCACTTCCAAAACAATACATGTATTGACTGTGAGCCACCTCTAAATAGGTCATTCTTCCTGCCTGATTATAATATAAGATTATAAATTCTACTTGGGAAAATCCTTAATGGGAATAAGATTGATTAATCTCATGGGTATAGATCAGATCCTATTTGAGTACATATACTTAGTGGCTGTTTATATCTGTAGCCCTATTTAAATGTATGTAGTTTCTATTCATGTTACTGGACCCAGTAGGATTTTGGTTTTGCTCCATGAGATTAAATAATGTGTTTCTTAAACTCTCATTGAATTGATTTAATCTAGCCAAATTTGACCTGCATATTTAGATTTATTGTGTGGACCAGGTACTTAATGTGAGATTGCTTACACAGACATGCCTGCCAAGATATAGGTAATATACATCCATGCTAAAAAGTGTGTGTCAGTACTAAAGCTTGAACCCTCACTCTTGTTTGGCTTTTTTACTCAGAACTTCTCACTCTACCATTTGAGGAATAGTTCTGCTTCTGATTCTTTACTGGTTTTGAACTGGGTCCTCAGATTTTAGCCTACTGAGTAGCTAGGATTAGAGATTTGAGCCACCAACATCTGGCTTTTTTTTTTTTGAGTTGTGTTATCTGCAACAAACCATAGTAGTTATAGATCATCATCAGCTATCAATTTGGGGAAAGTCTTAGTTAAAGAATAAAATAGTGTTTTGGGGGCTGGAAAGGTAGCTCAGTGGTAGAGCGCTTGCCTTGCATGCATTAGGCCCTGGGTCGATTCCTCAGCACCACATAAGCAAAAAGAAAAAAGCCGGAAGTGGCGCTGTGGCTCAAGTGGTAGAGCGCTCGCCTTGAGCTGAAGAGCTGAGGGACAGCACCCAGGCCCAGAGTTTAGGCCCCACGACAGGAACCAAAAAAAAAAAAAAAGAATAAAATAGTGTTTTGAAGATTTCAGTTGGTCTGTTTTCTGCTATAATAGAAAATAGTTTCTTAATTTCTTCATATATTTAGGAAGAAAAATGTATATATGTGTATATATGAGTATATGTGTATAAGTTATTTGTGTATTTAACACATGTATATATAAGGTTATACATAAACTTAATTGCTTTTTATGACAGAACAGAAGCTAATTCACTACAAGTCATATTTTTGAGTGCAAACTCAAATGCTGTCCAGGTTTTTAATTGAGTCCTTAATTACTTTGAACATGATTTTAATTTACTAGTGTCTAGAAATCAGTGGGGTTAATAATCTCGTGTGTCATAGGCAAGACTGGTGAAATTACTGCCTCAAAGCTTTAATAAGTGAAACAATATCATCTTGTCAGCTTCTTTTTATTTACTGATGTGCAGTTTATTCTAATAGAATACACTGGAACCAATGCAGTGTTTTGAAGTTTGGTGTCAAGACATTTCATCTTAAACACCATGGAGATATCTTGCAAGCGTCAAATCACCTGTTTGGATTTGCTTGCTGTTTCTTGCTGTACTCAGCATATAAGTCCCCACTAATGATGCCTGGCTAAAGAGGCTCACTGAGAGATCACTCTCGGTTGTGTATTCTTGAGGTAAACATTGGTTCAGCTTATCTCCTGGTGAAAATGTTCCTGGCGTAGTTGAATCCCTCACTCCCTTTCCCTTGCTTGTTTTATTTCTGAACAGGTGTGTCAAGGATGCCACAATGCCATTGATCCGGAAGTTCAGAGGGTGACCTACAACAACTTCAACTGGCACGCGTCCACTGAGTGCTTTCTGTGCTCTTGCTGCAGCAAGTGTCTCATTGGACAGAAGTTCATGCCTGTGGAAGGGATGGTTTTCTGTTCAGTTGAGTGTAAGAGGATGTTGTCTTAGGAGGTGAGCGCCAAGCAATACTGAGCTGTAACAATCCAAAGCGGCCTGCATTTCAACAATAGGATGCAATTTCAAAACAATAAAAGGGGGAAAAAATTTATAAAGGCAACCAGAATATTCTGTTCTCTGTAATTTTTTTCCTTATTGATTTTTCTATCCTAACTTTAAAACCTGCTTTAAGCATTTGATTTTTATAATGGTGAAGAACATTTGATTTCCTAATGTGAAATCTTAGTTGAAAGTTTGCTTTTAATTAGTCTTCATGTTGCTATATCCTGGTGCCAAATTAAACATTAAAGATAGTGACCTGAATGAAATGGAGAGCATTTCTAATTCTATACTCTTTTTTTTTTCATTCATGTATAAAATGAAAGGGAAATGAAATTTGCCCTGAGGCCAATACTTTACATTTATTGTTCATCTTATTCACTGAACTTTATAATATACAGTGAGTACTTTTTATCAGAGAAAATGAAAATTCAGCATGGTGTGGTTAGCTGTTTTAATGCCTATGTATTTGCTGTTTCCTGATTTAGGCAGAGGTGGCATTTTTTTTTATTGCATTTCTCTATATTTACTTTAGCTCTCATTCTTCTTTTGTAAGCTTATGACCTCCATCTGTGGCCTTGAATATTTTACTATCACATATGGCATAACAATATGCACATTTTTTTTTACTTTTATTGATCTTTGTCTTGGAACATAAAAGCCAAGCCACACATTTGTATTATTTTCAAACCAAAGAACATGTAGAGTTTTGTATCTAGAAAACCATACCTTTTATGGATTGCACTTGCCTACCATGGTTTAAATAGATTTTTGCATGATTTTTAATCTTGTTTTTGATATCTCCAAGCCTGTTTATAGATACATAGAATATCTTTGCATATATACTTCTATCTTTATTTCTTATGTTTAATTTCCTATGTGCTTCCTTCCACACATAGCTATGCACTACAAATATAAAATGGAATGAGTGATATGTATATTATTTTAAAATAAAGTTTCATTTTATTAATTGTCTTTTTTCTCATCCTTCTGTAGCTAAAGATCTCTTACAGCAGGGGGCGATGTCTCCAAGCGTAAGAACAGCCTAGTGACAAAAACAAGGCTGCTTCTGAAAACACAAAACAGCAACTAGACTTTTCTTTGTAGTGAAAATCCTTGAATCAGGGCATTTAGTTATATTAAAGTCTTGCAGGAGGTTGTCTTTGAAAAGTGTCTAGAAAAGTGTCATTGTAATTGAAGTTTGGGAAGACAGTAATTGAATCTAACAAGTGTTTCTCTAATACTTGAGTAGCGATGCTGTTCTCCCAAGAGCTGTTTTTGTGACAGCCAACAGTGAAAAAGGAAACAATGGGGAATAGTAATGGATTCTCTTCATATTAGCAGACTCTGAGGGTCTTTATATACTTTTTTCTGACATATACTTAAGACAATTTGTGGGGGATTTTTTTGCTGTTAGTCTGTTGGATACTGATTCTATTTATCTTACACACACACACACACACACACACACACACTTTGTACAGGTATACACATTTGTACTCTGCCTTGTCCAGCCATGAAAGTTATGTTTTGAAGCTTGAACATAGTATAGAAGAAAAGTGTTCTAATATCACATTAATATCACAGAATGCCCTTAAGTGGCTACAAAGTTTCATGGTTGTTTATCATTTTAGCCTTTGACTTAAATAGTATCAGGTATACTTTTCACAGGTAAACAGCTTAATTTTCCCAGGCATGGGCTGATTGAGAATAAACTGAGGCAGAACCCCTTCCATATTAACATAGCCAAGTCTTCATGTGTCTACCAGCCTGCTGGATTGGGTTATAAAAAACTGAGGAATTTGACCTACTCTTGTCAATTACTGCCCAAGAGAATTTTACCACCCACTATTCATATATTAGGCTATTTCCTGGAAGAAAAAAAAATGCCCTGTGTGAGTAACACTAAACTAGGTTTGGCTATTCCTTTACTGACTTTAGATTGACTTTGTAGGGCATGCCTCTTAAGAGGTTCCTGGCCTAACTAATTTTTTTTATGTTCTTCTAAATACTTGTACTATCAAAAGAAGAGTAGGCTGATTACTAAATTCTTCCAAGATTTACTTTTCTTCCAACGTCAAAGATACATTTTCTTCCTCAATCTTTTATGTTCTTCATTGTCCTCACTTCTAAGTAATTGTTTATAAATATATAATTATATAAATTATATAAATATATAATTTTTATGAATATCAAAATCCTTCCCAGAACTGGGGATAGTTATAAAGAGGGTTTTCATATCTGAAGCATGTTTTTTTCTCCAAACTTGGATAATATAGAAAACCTTAGATTCTTCTTCTTCTTCTTCTTTTTCTTCTTTTTTTTTTTGGAACTAGGAATTAAACCCAGTACCTTTTGCGTATTAGGCAAGTACACTAACACTGGGTCTGTGCCTCTAGCCCTATTGGTTTAATTTGTTTTTGATATAGCTTCTGGCTGCTGCCTTTACCCAGGCTGGCCTTGAACTTTTAAGATCCTGGGATTATAAAGTTCCAGCACACTGAGTGTAGAACATGTTTTTAAGCCTTAATTTCCTATTGATCAATTATGGTGAATATCTTTAATGAGAATCCCACACAAGTTCTGATACCTGCATAAGCATTAGACAACCCTTTGTGGAGTTTTCCTACCTTCACTGGGGGGAAAAATATTCAATTGTATGGAGCCTCTAATCACATAACAGATCTAGAACCCATATGCCATTGTCCTTTGTTTAAAAGATGTTCTTTTAGGTTTTATAGTGACATCTGCTTTTCCTGTCCCCTAAATAGCAACAGTAATTTGAAACAAAAAAAAAAAAAAAGGAAAGAAGAGCAGATATATCTTTCCCAAGACCCAGGAAGTTAAAAAGATTTTGACACCTCATTAGTTAATGAAATTTACCATAGTAATACATTTATTATTTTTAGTAGAAGAATCACGCCACATTAAAATAATCATAATCACAAACTCATTCATGAGATCTTCATGTACCCTATTCATCTCTAAAAAGAAGGCTGTTGCTTATAACCCTTGGATATAGTTATAATTTTGAGAAATCAGTGGAGTTTTGTTACTTAACCTCATTTAAGAAATCCAAATTGCCCTTGAGACATATTGGCCTTTCATACTTGTTTTATGCTATCTTTATCTTTTTTTCCTCTGAAAATGACAAACAGGATTGTTCACATAAGCTAAAACTTAAGTGACTCCAAAGTCATCAAGCAGAGATTTCCAAATCAGACTCAAGTATTTCAACCCAGTTTCACCAAAGAAATTCACTATTGACTCATCCTTGAGCAATTTCTAACACAGTGTTTAAATGCATCCAACTTCACCATGGTTACCAAAGATACACCACCAGCCAACACTACTATTAAGTATTTGCCTCAAAATGCCCTGGCATATCTAAACTTGCTTCTGAGTATTCATTTCATTCCTTAAAAAGCATGACTCCATCAGTGTCTCCATGAAAAAGCACTTTACCCAATTTCTTACCAGATCCTCTCTGCTCTTTCCTGAACCCCGCTGATTTAAGTGCTCAATGACAACTCTGTGGTTTTCTTGAGTGTTCATATGTATGAAAGGGACCCACTACACAGGAACATATGAGCGTGTTGAGCATACAGCCTGACAAACTTCTGGCTTGATTAATAGAATCCTTTTCTTGTGTATTTACCAGACACTTAAATAGTTTGGGCTAATTATTTTGTCCTTTCATGGAGCCCATGTCATTGCATCTTCCATTTAATCTGATCATGTATTTTGAAGCAAAGCAAATTACCACTAACCTTTTACATTTGTTTTGAATGGCATTTGAATGACATTTCTAAAGGGCTGCTATTGATTTTTCTTCAATGGTGCTTCTCATTGGGATATGTTGACCTTCCCATAACAGCAAAAGTAACTTGTACGCAGCTATTACCAGCATCCACTATTATTGAATACAGAGACGTTAAAGTCAATTTCTCCCTAAATGTTGACTCATTGTGAGGGCTCCATGGTATATAGTTCAAAGGAAATCTGGATTTAGTTTAAACAGACACCTTCTGGCTTGTCACATTGATCTCTTTCTCTCCAGTTACTGCAGAGTTGGGGAGCCTAAAAATAATGGGTCCAAGTATTGGGTGGATGTCAGGCCAACAGGAATAACAACAAGGGCATCAGCTGTAAAACTGCCACCAGGAGTCCTGTGGGCAGGACCTTAGAGAAGAAACTGAAAACCTTCTTGATGTATGGTGGTGACAGCAGAATTTTTGCCTTGTCTGGGCCAGACAACCTTTTTTCTTTTTTTTTCTTTTTGAATGAGAATGGATCTTTGATGAAGCATTTAACATAGTACATGGAGATCTGAGGTATAAGATCTCCTTGGTGTGAATAAGTGTCTGCTCTTACTGCTCAGGATGAGATTCCTCAACCAGCATGGACTACCAGGATAGCCTGCCTTTACCTGTACTATGCACACATCCAAACCTCAATCTTGCCCGTTTTCTGTTCTTTTACATTCTGCCCTCTCTCCTGTGCATTGGATTATTTATTTATTTGCTCACATGGTCAGTCAGTCACTATTTCTTGAGTTTCTGCCATGTGCTAGAAATGGTTGTAGAAGTGGGAACAACTTAGTGAGCAAGATCATTGCTCAGGTGGCAGTTGATATTCTAGAAGGAATGCAGCATAAAGAAAGTAATTGATCAATGTAATGGATCAAACAAAATCATGGCCAATGAGAGATGGGGGAACTTAAGATTAGAAAACTTAGAAATAACAAAAGAAAGACATTAAATATTAGGCCAGTCAGGAGTGAAAAACTCAGAAAAAATGAGGGAGGAGGTGACACTGCTATGTAAGTGTAACTTATGACATATAACTGTAATTGACATGTAATTGTAACCCCTCTATACATCATCTTACAATAACAAAATATTTTTAAAAATATTAGGCTTCATGTAACAGAAATTCAGAGTTAAGGGTGTGTAGTATGCCATTATCTATAAATCATATCAAATTCTAGTTTAGTAGACAATAAGATTTGATGCTCTATTGTATAGGAGTGGTAACTA